CATCAGTCTCAGACTGACACGGCCACGTTTCATCCACTCTTCACCGTCGCTCACTAATGGTTGTGCTGAACTCTCTGCCAAGGGCTGGGTTTGCTCGTCCTTAGAGACCCTTTGGGGAAAATCAGGCCAGAAAGCAGCTTCAGTCCAGTGCAAGCCCAGCAATCCTTACAGTTGGGAACTGCTGAGCTTGTAATCATGTGGGATTGGAAGAATAGCTCTGCCTCAAAGCCTGGAGGCTGCTGGAAAAGCAGGGCTGTTGTTCTGCTGTGGGGTGTAGCCGAGCTCACTGCCTGGTGCCCAAAAACCCTTTTTCCTCCTGGTGCTGGTGCTGGCGCAGAGCCCTGGGCAGGGCAGAGCCTGCAGCAGTTGGTGCTTTGCACCCTCTGGATGGTGCCAGTGGCTGGGGAGCTGATGGGAGCGTTTGGCCTAGGAGCGTTTTGTGGAAATGAGGGTAAAAAAAATCAACAGTAAAATGTCCGAAATGTTCTGCTGAGACACATCTCGGTGTTGTGATCAGTGCAGGAGAAATGGAGGGAGGGGGAAGTGTGGGTCTGTGCCCCAGTGCTGCTCAGGGCTCGGGGCAGGGCTTGGTGCAGAACCAGCTTTGGAAAACCCAGATATATTTGCATCACCAGCAAATGGGCTTTCGCTTGCAAAACTTTGCCTCTCAGCCCAGGCTGATGGGGTGGGGCTGGGCAGATTTCTGGGGACCTGGGGAAGGAATGGCCTGCCCCTTTCTACAGCACACCCTGAGAACCAGGGCAGAGTTTTGGGGCTTTGATCAGAGCAAGAGGTGTCCTGGTGGACTTTGAATCAGGTGCAGCAGCAGGGACATCTTCCCAGCTAACCCCCCGTGCACCCCTAAGGCCAGGTAAGTGCCTGCCTCCCAAAACTAGCCATCCCCAGCTGTGCAGGGATTTCAGGCTGCTCAGGTGTTTAGGGCTGTTGATGAAGATGCCCCTGTTCTCTCTTGAATCCCCAGCACACAATCACAAACCCCTCTCCTAAAGCCGATGGGGAGAGCAAGCCCCCTGCTCCCTGCAAGCCAGTGCAGGTACCTAGCACACTTATAAGATGGATATCTCCAGCTCCATCGCTTCTAGTTCCTTCCTCCCTGGGGGATTAATCACTCTGAAAGGTCCTTGCCTCAGGGTGAGGGCAAAAAAGTGGAATTTGAGAAGGCCTTGCCAAAGTTGCTGCATTCCTGTCTTGACCCGACCGGGCTGAGCATCAGATTGCAACTGAAGTGTAAAAGTAGCCTCTGCTTGCTGGTCTGAGCAGAGGAAACCCTTGGAAACTCCTTCAGCTCCCTGAAGAAGTTCAAAGCTGTTAAACCAGATTCTGGCGTGCTCTGATTTTTCTGAGTCTCAGCTGGCACGTTCTCTGGTGCAGTGACCGCAGGGAAAGGCTGCCGGGGAATTTCTCATTGCGCAGGCTGAAAAGCAGATGCAACCCACTGTCTTTCTCTCTCTGTTTCAGTCCCAGCCATGCCATCCCTCTTTATTAAAGTCATTAACAGCACCGCCGTGCAGGCGACCTGGGAGCCCTCCATCAAACTGGGCCAGCACGAAGGCTTCAAGCTCTACTACCGCAAGGTCCACCTCGCCCAGTACACGGGACCCGTGCTCCTGGCCAGCAACGTCACAGCCTACAACATCACCCACCTGGGTGAGTATGGTGACACCCTGGTCCGTGTCCCCTCCCTGCCCCGGGAGGGCCTGTCATGATTAGCAGGCGAGAGCTCGCGTGTGTCGCCCGAGCACTAAATGAGAAATGCGGGAGCTCTGCCCCAGCTTTTTGGAATGCTTTCCCAGGAACGGGTAGTTCTTTGCAGCATCCTGTGTGTGTTTGGTAAGGTGTTCATTTCCCAGACGAGCCTCACTCGTGGTGACGCCTGAACTGTCCTTGTGTCTCCCCCGGCAGACGCGTCGGTGGTGTACGAGGTCAAGCTCCTCGCCTACAACCAGCACGGGGACGGAGACTCCACTGTCCGCTTCGTGTCCCTGAGGGAGACTGTGGAGAGGACGGGTGAGACAGGACATGGGGCTGGGTGGTGGTTTGGGGACACATCCCCCAGGCCCCTGTGGCTCTCACCTTTAACCACTCGTTTATTTTCAGCATCACAAAAAGTGCTGAAGCAAAACCCTGCGGGGCTGGGACCACCTGGTGCTGGCAGGGGTGGCTCCCTGGCCACGTGGCTTGCACCATCCCCCTTGGCCACTCCAACCTGACGACTCTGGGGGATAAAACTAACCCAGTGTTCCTGTAATTGCCAGTTTATTAGTCCCCTAAACTTGAGCCAGAGATGAGACCATGAAAATGAACAAGCCCCCATGCATAAGCTAAGAGTTACCATCCTCAGGTGAGATATGGTGCACTGAGCATCTCCACTCTCCTGGAGTTCTTTTGTATATTTTGACCTTCACTGGTCAAAAAGGAGGGCACTTGGCTTTGGAATGGGAAATGGTGCAGAGCACAAGTCCTGCTTTATGTAGCAGCAGAGGGGAAACCTCTAGAGGGAATCTCTTAACTGATCACACCTTTCATATTCATCTATGTGTAAAAAACATCCTGCTGTTCTTGGAAGCCTTTTAAGCCTTCCAGTGGGAATATCTTCAAGAGATAGTTATTACTCCTCTGTCTGCGTTGGAGTAAATACTAATCTCACTGGCATCTGCCTGCTCGGTGCTTTCCATCATGCCTGCTCTGGCATGGTGGCCACCTCTCACCTCCCCCTTGGGCACAGGGGATGGCAGAAATTATTATCAGAGTCTTTTCTTCTCATTAATTGTGTCTAATGACAGGTGCCAGGTAATGGGGCTGGCTCACTATGGAATTCCAGTCCTCTGCTTGCTCTGAGTGCCTTCTTGGAGTGCCAGGAGCAGGGAAGCTGCTTCAGCAGGCATTGACCCCCCCCATCAGCTCTGCATCTTTATCTCCTCTTCCCATACACAGCCCAGGCTCCACCTTTGGCTCTGGGCTCCCCAAAAGCTGGAGGAACAGTAGGAGAGAAGCACCACTGACTCCCCAATCCCCCCTTTTTTCTGGCAGTGCTGAATCCCCCCTGCGACTGCATGAAGGACGAGCAGAACAATAAAACCTCCACGACCGGCATCATCATCGGGATCCACATCGGCGTCACCTGCATCATATTCTGCATCCTCTTCCTCATGTTCGGGTACCGAGGAAGGTAGGGATGCTCATGTCACTGCTCACAGGGGGTGATGGACCCTAATGACGTGTGTGGGTATCCCCACCTGAGTCTGGCACCCCCAGTGCGATGCTGGACTTTATAGGATGGATTGAAGGATGAAGGAACGTAGCACAGGGATAAGGCAGACTCAGACTTGGGGCGGGGGGAGTGAGGGAGGAACCATCTTTCTCACCCTCAGCCTCCACCTCTTTATTTTGCAGGCTGCTGATGTGCAAAAACGTGCAGGAGCAGCTCTCAACCCCACAGATCCCCAGGAGCCAGCGGAGCGCCGCGGGCCTCGTCCTCAACGGGACCGCTCGCAGGGACAGGGACGACCGGGACTTGAACGGAAAGCAGCTGGATATGAACGAGCTGGAGAGGTTATTCCCAGCATCCCCGTCCCAGGAGCAGCAGGATAAGGGAATGACGGTAAGTCCAGCGGGACGGGAGCTCACCTGGCTGCGTGTCTGAGCGCATCAGACGCTGTCACTGCACTGTCCCCTTCTCTCTCCCCAGTCGGCTCACAGCCCGCCGGCCCCCCACGACAACACCCAGATCTCCACACTCCCTCTGGACGAGTTCAGCATCATCGAGGAGCAGCCAGACCCCCTCCCAAAAGCCCCCCGTGGCGGCAGCCCCCCTGCTCCGGCCCCTGACCACGGTCCCGCCAATGAAGGATAAAACTGCCAAGACTCGAAGCCTCCTGTAGGAGTTACCAGAAACCAAACCCGCGGCTGGTGATGTCTTTACGAGTTGTCAATCTCAGGTCAATTGAAGATTTCTACGGTCTGATTGTTATTTTTTTGTTTTGCTTTATTTTTTTATATATATATATAAATATATATATATATGTATACAGCCTTTTGGAAACTCTGTGAAGTTTTATCTTTCTGACCTCTCCCTCGAGCCTCTCGGTGTGTTTCGTGGAGACTGGTCACGATGAATTTTCCCCTCAGCTGCTAAGTAACAGACTCCTTGGCAGAGTTTGGCAAACTCTTCCCATCTCTGACAGACTGGGAATATGGTGGAACCTCCACCTCCTGGCATCCCAGACTTTTTCCTGATCAGCAGCTTTAGGACTACTTTTTGGATCTATTTTTTATTTCCAGAAGACTGGATTTGGAGAAATCCTTCTAACTTGACTCCAAAAATCGAGGCCCAGGAAGGCTGTCTCTCCGTGGATTTGATGACTTTGTACACTTTCGCTATTTCTCAGGATACTTTTTTTGCTGATTGACTCTAAATAATATGAAAAAAAAAAAGGCAGAAAAAAAAAAAGAAAAAAGAGTGTGTGTGTGTCAAAGGATGCCTGAGGGCTACTGAAAGACTTGGACAGACAACCCGAGTGAACTCAGAACCTACCTCAACCGGAATGAATGTCTTCTGGGAAGCAGAAATACCTGCGTCTTCCTTCGTGTTCAAAAAGCAAGTAGCATAGCACTTGGTCAGTACAAGCATGGTCCTACCTCAGCAGTCACGCTCTGTACCCGCCGCCCCGGCGGCTTCGGTGTCGTTGTTCCCATGTAAAGCACTTCCAAACCTTTGAAAGCAATGTTCTACCTCAAGCACGAGAGAAGTGAGTGTGTGAGAGTCTGTGAGTGAGTGTGTGTGTGTGTGTGTGTGTGTGTCCTCTCCTCTCCCCCAATTCCTGCCTCTCCCACCCAGCCCCTCACGAAGCGAGGTGCTTCACTAGTGTTATGAGCTTTACTTTTCGGGGCTCCGGTGTGATTTTGGAGATTCCTGTCTTTTTTTTTTTTTTTTTTTTTTTTTTTTTTTTTTTTTTTTTTTTTTTTTTTTTTTTTTTTTTTACTTTAAAGATTGTTGAGGCTGTCACAGACAAGCAGTGTGGTGCTCTCTGGTTTTCCCTGGTATCGCTGCCCTCCCAGGGCTGATTTGGGTGCTGGTGGTGGCTGCCTCAGCCCATCCTGGGTGTGTGGAGATGGGGTGCTCAGTTGCCGGTACTGGAGCCAGGGCACCTTCCTGCCCTGTCACTGTGCTGCCACCCAAGGCTGATTCCCAGCAGATGGTTTATGGCACGTGCCAGCAAAAGCAGCATAACACAGCCCTGGGGGGTGGCAACCTGGATGTCAACGTCTTGTCCCAAAGCCCACCCTGCCATTTAGGAGCGCCCACGGGCAAACCCTGAGACAGCACTTCCAGAACCCCCTGAGATGCTACTGAGCTGCTCCCAGCTCCTCCAGTGCATTTCCAACCACAGGAGAACATCCGAAGGATGAGTGGAGCCAAAAAGGGCTCAGTTCCCTGGGAGGGACACGGCGAGGAGGATGCTGGGGGCTGCCAGCGGCCGCCCCTTCCCAGTGCCCAGGGTGGGCAGAGGAGCTCCTGACACCAAAGAGAGGGTTTTTCCCCCCCAGGGATCAACCACCAAACTGCTGCTGGTGGGGTTGGGTTGTCCTGGCGGGGTGCAGCCTCGTGGGTCGGTGTGTGACCGGCATCGTCCGTGGGGTGAGGTGGGGGCAGGATCGGTGCCCCTTCCCTGCCACGTGGGTTGGTTAAATCCGGGAGATTGTGAAGGTTTGAACTCTTTGTGTAAGTGGTGGTAAATCAAACGTTGCCGTATCTGCAAGGACAGTGAAAGGAATCAGGAAAGGAAATGAGTTTTAAGTTTAAAAAAAAAAAGTATTAATTGTATTTTTTTAAATGGTACCAGTGGGAGAGTCCCTCATGTGAGAAACATCCCCCATCACCTGCCCAGCTGGCAGTGGAATGCTGCCTGTGGCTGTGTAAATAATTCCACACACGTGAGGATGAGCAAACTCCTCTTCCCTGTGCTGTGTCCTGGTGCTGGGCCGGGTTAGCTGGAAGCAGGAATCTGTCCTTCCACATCATCCACCTTGGCCCAAGCAGATGTAATGACATCAGCCTCGAGAGCAAGGAGCTCTTCAGGCTCGGTGTTCCCAGCCCTCTGCCATTATAATTCCTCTTCCTGTTGACATCAGGCAGGACAAAAGAGATGGGAAGGGTTAAACTTTGGCATTAACCCCCCCCAAAGAGCCTCTCCCCACCCCACCAAAGAGGCTAAATGGGCCATCAGACCTATCCTGGGAAGGGACCCTGGGGGGACAGTGCCTGTGAGTCCGACAGCACAGCCCACCCCATTGCGGGAGCTGGAGGATGGAAAGGGCAGGAGGGAGGAGGAGACACCAAACAGCTCAAGTTATAACCTCATATCAAAGACAACCCGATCCTCTCCTGCCATCCCACTGCTGCCCCAGCCCAGCTTTTCCTGCTATTGTTTTTTTTTTTTGGTGTGTGTAACTTCACCGTTCACATTGAATAAGTACCGTTGCCAAAGTGAACACAAAACCTAGAGTAGCGCTCAGCTCAGACTTCCTGAAGCTGTGAACATGCTATTAATTTAATATCATATTATTGTGATATTGTAATAGTAACAAGTATTTGTCACTACTTCCTTTTATTAAAGGGAAATGCTGTGCCATTTGACTAGTTGGAATATGATAGTATGTCAAGAGTAGAGCTTTTTCTTTTGTGGTTTTTTGTTTTGTTTTGTTTTGTTTTTTAATTATGCAGAAATGTGGTGGCTTAAACCAATGCAGATTCTGTGTTGGTTTGAGACGGTTGAAGATGGATGTAAATCTTTAAAGCCTATTTTTTAGAAGTTTAGCTTTTCCTCTTTTTTGGGGTTTCTTTTCCGCTCTTTTCAATCCGTACCGTTGGGACGTAACGTAGATGGTTGCGGCAACTCAGCCCACGAAGGGATGGGGCTGAAGTCTGGTGATCCATCAGGAGGACATGGTCTTCCCTTAATTATCCAATTATCCATGGGCAAAAAAAAAAAAAACACTCAAAATGGCACGTTCTGGCTTTGTGCCTGTCAGCTTGGAGAAGCGACACAGAACAGTCACTCCTGCTGTACAGCAGTGCCTGAGCCGGGCTGGACACAAAGCTGTGCCAACCAAAAACTTGGGAAAACTTCACCTAGAGCATGGCTGGCCTTGAATCTGTGAAACAAGAAGGAAAAAAGAACAAAAAAAAAAAAGAGCTTGTGTTTGGTTTCAGCCCGGGGGACAACCTGTCCTCGGTTCATCCAAACTGCTGCCCAGAGGTGAGCCCGCTGGGCGGGGGGCAGGTGGTGGATCCGGTGCAAACTGCTGGCAACCACCCACGTTTGGGGTAGGAATCTCATCCTTTATTATTTATCCAAGTAAATAGTTCCTCTAATTCAACCCTCTCAGCTGATCCCAAAAACCCTCCTATTTTCTGGCTGTGGTGAGATGAAATTACAGGAAGGAATAAATATCCAAAAGCTGATTTTTTTTTTTGTTTTGTTTTGTTTTGTTTTTGGTAACCCATAATGGGCACAACCTATTCTTGGAGCTCTCAAGTTGACCAGAGATGGCTGCTACCTCAGGGATAGTATCCACGTTGTCTTTAGTTGAACAGGGAATAGTTTTATGCTGTGACAGGGTATTTTCACGCTGTTGGATTCAGGTATTTATTTGTCTACCATTATCTTTCTTCTTTCTTGTTTAGTAAAGGTGCTGATATATTTAAGTGCTGGTCCAGTTTGGGAATTTTAAAGCTTCCACCCCCCAATTATAACAAGGGACTGTAGAATTTTAAGTTGGCAGTAAAAGAGGAGAGAAGCTACAAAGCCTTGCTGCTTCTGGATGGTGAAGGGAAGCTGAGTGACAGCACTTAAGTCTGAAAAGATCAGTTTAAAAAAAGGAAATTAAAAGCTTATGAAAACAAACAGGGGGGAGCTACTTACTCACTTCATCTGTGCAAACAGTGTGTGGAAATCTATCCCTCCCCATGTGCGCCGGAGCGGGCAGGTTTCAGATCCCATCTAGCAACTTGATGCCGGCTCGTTTATTTCCCTCCCCACCAAATTAAAAAAAAGGGAAAGAAAAGTTGATGGCCAGTTCCCAATTGGTGTCCCCCAGGGATCAATGTCAGACCCTGTCCTGTTTAATATCCTTACTGGTGATCTGGATGAGAGGATCGAGTGTACCATCAGCACATTTGCAGATGACACTGAGTTTGGGGGAAGGCAGGAGGGCTCTGCGGAGGGACCTGGACAAGCTGGATCCGTGGTCTGATTCCAACAGGATGAGGTTCCACAAGGCCAAGCACTTTGGTCACAACAACCCCTGCAGCTCCAGGCGGGGCAGAGTGGCTGCAGAGCAGCCAGGCAGGAAGGGAGCTGGGAGTTTGGATGGACAGGGAGCTGAACATGGGCCAGAGTGAGCCCAGGTGGCCAAGAAGGCCAATGGATCCTGGCCTGGATCAGGAACAGTGGCAGCAGGAGCAGGGCAGGGATTCTGCCCCTGTACTCAGCTGTGATTCTGTGAAAGGGAAGGTGCCTGGGCTGGAGCTGCGGGCAGGGAGTTGGGAATGAGGGAAGCACCAGCACACCCAGGGCACTGAAACCCGCTGGGAATCAGGGAAACAGCTCCAGGTTTACTCCACGGGCAAAGCCTGGGCTTTGCATCACGTAGGAAGAAGGGACAGGGCCGGTGTGAAGCCCAGAGAGTCGGGGACAAGCCTGATTTCACAGGGCTTTGGATCCGGGTCTGACTTAAAAAGCAAAGAGGGATTTGTACTTTGATCGTATTTCCATCATTTAAACTTGCAGTATCTTTACTTTTGTAAGAAAGTCATAACAAAACCGACGCTAAACCTTTGTTCCAGTCCTTTTTGGGAATCAACTGTTAGGAGTAGTACTAAAAACCCAAATTGCAAAGCACTTTTCTACTGTTTATTTTCTACCTTTCTTACTTTGAACTGTCTTGATATTGAAATCCCACTGATCCCACGATTGTTAGCTCTGTATTAAAAAAAAAATAATAAAATAAAACCCAGGTTTTTTGTAGTTTGCTCTGTTTAGATTTTAGCCTGTGGCTACTTGTACAAGGAAAATAAAGCTAGAGTAAATGAGTCTGAGTGGGGCTTTTCTTTTCACATGCAGGGCTGTGGTGTGGGGGTTGTGCGGGGCACCTTGGGGCATCACCACTTCATTGGCACGGCTGCTTTGTGTCCTCTCAAAGAGCAGCTTCCAAAATGCAGCATTTAAGGGTTGGGTGGGTTTTTATTTTGATGTTTTGCTCATAAAACTCCAGCCAAGCCATCAGCAGAAACCTCCTGGAGAAGGGGGGCTCTTTGGCAGGTGGGTGAGATGAGACCTTCAGGGTCACAGAATGACACCTGTGCTGGGAAGTGCAAATCAGATTCCAGTTAATCCTGGCTCCTGCTCAGTTATCGCTGTGTCTGCTTTTCCCGCTGCCTCAGGCACTGATAGGGCAGCACCTGTGAGGGTGGGCAGGCCCTGGCACAGAGAAGTTGTGGCTGCTCCACCCCTGGAAGTGTCCAAGGCCAGGTTGGACAGGGCTTGGAGCAACCTGAGCTAGTGGAAGGTGTCCCTGCCCATGGCAGGGGGTGGAATTGGATAATCATTAAGGCCTCTTCCAACCCAAACCATTCTGGGATTCTATGGTGTGTCCTTGCCCCAAAACAGGGGCTGTGAACCACGGGCCACCCTCCTGCCACTGTCCCCTGTGCTGCAGCGCTGCATGAACAGCCCCATCCCCTCCTCCTGCTGCTGCCCCCGATGCCAAAGGACAGTCACAGTGAAGGCCACGGGGAATAAATGAGTGAGACCGAGCCCAGCACTCTGTAAAGAGGGTTTCAATAAGCAGGTGAGTGAAAAGCCGCTTCATACAACTCCCTGAAGCTCTTGGAACTACTAAGTTGCAGCATGGATCGTCCAAATATATACTTCATAATAAATACCAGCATATAAACTGATTTTATTTCCCAGTGGCAACGCAAGAGGTGAAAAAAAAGATCAGAGTGGGCTCACTCTGGGGATTTCCATGTAAGTTCAGTGGAATCTGGTGCTTCAGATAGCACTGCAGAGTCAAGGTATTGCATAGAGCTTGTGGCTTTCATTAAAAAGGACTTTCCCTGCCTTCATGGCAATAAAAAAAAAGGTTTGACAATATTAATCTAAAGTCTTAGAAACTAAAGAAATAAAAAAATCCCCAAGCAATAGGTTTAAATGGCTTTGATTTTTGGCTGTTGGAAATATTAGGAGGCTCAAAAAAAAAAACCCCTGAGTGCTCGAAACTCATCTTGAAGAGGAAAAAATCTCCCTTTGACCACGTGCATTCAAATTTCTGTTGGAAACATCTCAAATCGACTCTTCAGCTCCAGAAATATTAAAAAAAAAAATTAGGTTGGGCATTTTCAGCTCTGAACGCTGCATCCCTGCCTCGGATATCGCTGGAGAAGATGTTACTGTTAATGTCCCAGTTATAACCCTGCCAACACAGGGAGAATTTATAATATCCCATAAAGCCCTAACTATGGAAAGGTCATTTTGGCGTTAATACCACTCGGGCATCGCCGCTTCATTTGCTGACACTTTTACAGAGCCACGCTTGATTCCAGCAGGGCAGCTGTAAAACCTTTACAGCAACATCCTCAGCCTCCAAAAATCATCTTAAAAATCAGCAGCTGGAACATCTCCATCAGCAGGTGCAGGCGGCTCCGAAAGGCTCCGCTCGCTCTCGGTGTGGGGTCTCCCAAAACCCAGGG